TCTGTGTGTGTGTATATATATATATATATATATATATATATATATATATATATATATAGTGTGTGTGTGTGTGTGTGTGTGTGAATGTGTGATTGTGTTATGTTTAAAGTTTTCCTTGGTAACACAAATAATGAGAACTGTTAAAAAATTAGTTCTTAAATTCAGTTTAAGGTTAATAATGAACACTAGATAGCACAGACTACAATGTGTTCTTAAATGTTCTTCATTTTCTTTTTAAAAATTATTTGTGTACAGTTGAGCATGTACATTTGTATGTATGTGTGTGAGTGTGGTGTGTGGCAAAGTGTGGTACATTCATGCATGGGATGTACATACTAAGCAATCAAGAATCAGAAGAGGGCATTGGGTGTGTTCCCTTCATCACTTTATACCCTTTTTCTTTTGAGGCAGCATCTGTGACCCTAGAGTTCAAGGTTTTCAGGCTAGCTTGGCATACCAGAAAGCCCTAGTGATCCTGTCTCTCCTTTGTTCAGTACTGGAGTTAGAGGTGTGCACAAGGTCATGAATAGCTTGTTAGGTGGGTGCTAGGATGAAAAGCCAGATCCTCATGCAGATATGGCAAGCGTTCTTAACTGCCAAGACATCTGCCTAGCCCAAATGGTCTTCATTTGCATTTATTCAGCTATGGCTTTGAGGATCAACAGAAGGTTTGTCACAGTGAGTAGTTGAGCCCATAATATTTGGAGAAGCCCAAACAAGTGGCTAAAGTAATATTTACATATAACAATTTAGACTTCATCCTGTAGGAATAGAGATAATCTATTTTAACAGGGAGGAATGTTTGAGGTTGTGATGACTTACAGAACTGTAGCAACTAGAATCACTGTGATTGGTATCTTAGTATTCATTTAGTCGAAATTATTACATTTCACCTAATAGTCAACAAAAAATTAGTCATAGGAAGGGTACACTCCCAATGACTTTGTACTTAGTTTATATCTAATTGTATAACTCCATTTATCCTTTTTACCAGTATAGAACCTATTGGTTAGGAAAATATGATTCTTGAATAGAGAATGCAGGGATTTTTTTACAGGGTCACACCATAGACCACACTGTCCTGGAACTTGTTATCTACCCTAGGCTGGTCTCAAACTTGGAAACTTCCTGTCTTCACATGTTGAATGCTGAGATTACAGATGTGCATCATCATGCCCAGCTAGCAGGATTTTGTTTGTTTGTTCTAATAGAAAACTGTACTAAAATCTCAGAATGGCTTCTCCAAAGCAAACAACAAAATGGAATTTTTCAATGTTGAAAAGTGAGAAAGATGAAGTTGCTATGGTAGGAGGGTGATTGGTTTGATATTCTGTATGAACATTTTCATTCCCAAAGATCTAAGCTATGATGGAGAAATACTGTGGAAAAATTCATGTTAAAACAGTGCATTCCTGTTGGATTGGCTGCTTTCTTATATTTTCAATGTAGCTGGTGCATGTTAATGCTCTACAAGTGCTAATTATCTCTTATTGCTTCCTACAGTTTGAAGGCATAGAGATAAAATACAGGATGGCAGAAACATACAAGGATTTTATCAACTCTGATTATGTTTCAAAGTTCATCATTACCCTTTTTAGTCAACTTTACTGTTATCTGATTTTTTCCTATATTATTTTTCTGTAATCCACAATGTTTGTTCAGTTCAAAATAAAGGATTTGAAAAGCATAAGCACAAGATTCTTTGCATAAATAACACTGTCTTAATTTATTAATATTGCTTTTGTCTTTGCTTAGCAGATATTAAAGGGAATCTTTGGCAGCTACGTTTTAAATTCTTTCATTAGTAGCCTCCGGCTACAACAACATCAGTGTCAAACAATTTATTTCAAGAGAGAGGCAGAGGTCTAGCTTCGATTCAAGGAAACTAATGAATGTACTGGCTTGCCTGGAAGCCAGATGGTGTCACTGTGCAGTGGCAGCAGCAGCAGACAGAGAAGAAGCAGTATCTAGGCACTTGTTAGAAATGCAATTACACAAGCCCACTACAGATAAGCTAAGGCAGAAATGTTCAAGATAAACAAAAAATCTGAGTTTTTAATAAGTCTTTTAGGTGATCCTAAAGCACATTAATGCTTGAAAAACATTAGATTAGGGCAATGGGAGGCCACGTTTCTGCTTTCTGAGTGTTAGTTAATCCACTTGAGACCCTTTTCAGCAAATTGAACAGGGAAATCAAGGTTGAGGGTGAGCCTTGAATTCCTCAGAGTTTAGACATAAGATGTGGAAGCTTAAAGATTATATTGTGGAAGTGGGGAAAACAGTTAAGGGAGAAAGCTAGTCCTAGAAATATACCAATTTTATGATGCCACATATACATGTTGTAATGTATAAAATAACCATCTACTAATTGCAGAGTCATGCACGTATAAGAGAAGGGATGCATAGGAGAGATGCCTGTGAGTGTATACTGCATAGAGGTGTGTAAGACAAGAATAAACACCTTATCTAGGAGGATGGCTATCTTTGAAGAGAGAGGATAGATCATTCACTTGGAGAAGATACTCTTGACCCTATAAATCTGTGATTAAGTATTACCACAAAAGCAAATAGCTTCAAACAAGAGAAGTTTATATTCAGACACTTCTGAAGGCCACAAGTCTGAAATGAAATTCTAATCCAGGAACACTCACTTAGTAGATTTAGGAAAGAATCCTTCTTGTTTCTCTGATTTCTGGTCACTTTACATGTGATCTCTTGTTTATCTGTTTCCTCCAGATTGGATATGAATCAGAGCTTCTGTGATTAATAATTTACATCACAAACCTCCTGAGATCAGGCTTACTGTCTTTTCCCTAGTGGAGGGATGGAGAATATTTACAGGGATTATGGGGATCAAAATCCTTGAGAGATCTTCCCAAGGCTCATTTTCCCCTGACATTATGTAGGAGGTAGAATGTTGACAAGCTATGGGACTCTGGCTAGCTCCAAGTATGTGGCCCGTGGGGATTCTTCAAAGTCATAGCATTTTATGAGTCATTCATGAGGTGGATGGCATTCTTCAGTAGTATAGCTTCAGGTAAGTTGTTTAGATAGCTTGGCATGAACCACCCATGCTCCTACATATATTCTCAATAAACCCATTGGTTCACCAAGCTGTATTTGCATGGAATCCTTTCTTTGGTCAGTTAGTGCTATATCTGGGGTGAATAAATGGTTCTTTATGTCTCTTGAGGAAAGCTCATGCATGGCATATATTTTTTCCTTCCTAGCCTTTCTCTTAGCCAAGAGAACTCACCAATCATTGGATTTAAGACTCATGCTTTGTTTTTGAAACTTTTATTGATTCTTTGTAGATTTCACATCATGCTTCTTGATCCCACTTATCTTCCTGTCCCCTCAGCCCTCCCCTCAACCCATGTAAGCCCCCCCTAAACAAAACAAAATTTAAAAGAAAAACCAAAACAAACAACAAAAATAGAAGAAAAAAGAAGAGGCGGAGGAGGAGGAAGAGAAGGAGGAGGAGAAGAAGAAGAAGAAAGAAGAAGAAGAAGAAGAAGAAGAAGAAGAAGAAGAAGAAGAAGAAGAAGAAGAAGAAGAAGAAGAAGAAGAAGAAGCAGCAGCAGCAGTGTGGCCCATTGAGTCACACAGTTTATTTATTTTAGTCCATTCATTTTTACTTGTAAGTGTTCATTGCTATGAATCATTTGTCTGGTTCGAGGCCCCTGGCCTCTGCTATACCACTGATACTGGGCTCTCTCTGAGGATCCTCTTGGATATCCTGTTGTCCTGTGTCATGGAGATCCTGCAGTTTTTATATCTGTGGTTCATCCCCTTCACATGTTCCAACAATTCATTGTTGGAGTGGGCTAACTCATAGCCCTTCCTGGTTCTGGGCCTGGATGACACTGGCCACAGACATCATCATGGACCCCTGCTGCACAAGAACCATAGACCCAGACATGGCCCTCAACAGCAGGTTGGGCTCTGATGTTACCATGGCCATAGTGGAAGCATGGGCCACCTAGATCAGTATGATCCTGGTGGGAGCATGGCCCTCAGATACTATGGTAGTTTGAAAGAAAATGGCTCTCAAAGGGAGTGGCACTATTAGGACGTGTGGCCTTGTTGGAATAGGTGTGGCCTTGGAGGAAGTGTGTCACTGTGGGGGTGGGTTTTGAGTTCTCCTATGCTCAAGCTACTCTCAGTGTCTCAGACCACTTGCTGTTGCCTGCAAGATATAGAACTCTCAGCTACTTCTCCAGCACTGTGTCTGCCTGCATGCCACCATGTCCCATTATGATGATAATGGACTGAAGTAAGTGAACCACCCTTGTAGGGGAAGCTGTAGCCATGCCTACTTAGGGGCTGGCTACAGGTGTGCCTGACCACGATTGCGAGGGTGTGGTCAGGGTGATGTAGAGCGATACTTCCATGGGACTGCGTTTTCTCTTTTGGGTTCACTTTGGTACTTGCTGGACAGACTGCTGCCGCGCCGGCTGGCTAGGGTGCTCTGTAAGTAAGGCTTTTCCCTATTAAATACCCTATATTTCTACCTGGCTCTGTATTGGTAATTTCCCACTATATCTGGTGTCAGGAGTGGGATTATACCCTTATATTTCTACCTGACTCCGTATTGGTAATTTCCCACTATACACCCCAATTAAATGTTTTCCTATAAGAGTTGCTGTGGTCATGCAGTCTCTTCACAGCAACAGAAACCCTAAGACAGACACTGATACAATCTCAGGTAGCTGACTAGACCCTGTATATCTGCAGAGCCCTCAGTGTTAACAGGAGCCATGGACATCATCTCAGATCCCAGACACTTCAGTGATACCCCAACCTGTTCTTCTTAAGTAAATTTGAACTTCAAAGATACCACATCCAATTAAAATCACATTTATATGTTGTAGATATTAGAATTTGACATTCCTTATGTAGAGAATGAAATTTAGTCCATCACAAGGAACACAGAAAACTTCCATTATTCTTATATATTAAGTAGTGTGGTTGGTACATATTATAAATATAATTGATTTCATATCTATGGATGCCACACCTATGAATTAAAGTATGATTAAAAATTTTAAAAAACAGACACCTCATCCTTGTCCCCCCTCCACTCTCTGCCCTCAGCCTGCCACCTGAGGTGAGTCTGAGCACTGTTCTTCCCCCAATTCCCTCCATCACCCCTCCTCCCTTCCTCCTGAGCCTGCCCCTCGCAACGCCCAGACAGGAAGGCCCACCCTGAGTCTGGCCACACCTCATGCTTATCCTCCTTCTGCCCTCTGCCCTCTGTCTGCCACCTGAGGTGAGTCTGGGTACTGCTCTGCCCTGAACTTCCTTCACTACATGCTCCTCACTTCTTCCTGAGCCTGCCCGTTATGTAGAGTGGACCTACCCAGACTGGAAGGCCCACCCAGAGTCCAGACACACCTCACTCTTGGTTCCCCCTCTGCCCTCCGCCCTTTGCTTGAGGAGACTAGAAGAGAGGGAGAGACCCCACCTGCACCCACTGGAAGAAGGGATGGGAAGATGACAGAATAAGAACACACTCAACAACAGAAGGACCAATAGGACACCACCAGAATCTAGGGACAAGCCCAACACAGAGGATGAAGAAGAGATGGACCTTAAAAATTATCTTATGAAGATGATAGAGACCATTAAAGAGGAAACAAAAATCCCTTAAAGAAATAGAAGACATACAGGGGGTGGGCCTAGGCCCTATCCCAAAGGATACAATAGACATTGATGACACCCTATGGAAGGCCTCACCATCCAGGGGGAGCAGAAAGGATATGTGATAGATAGGGTTTTAGTTGGGTGAGTGGTAGGGGAGGACGGGAGGGGGAAGGGAACTGGGATTGTCATGTAAAACAATTCTGCTTCTAATTCAAATAAAAAAAGTTAAAAAATAAAATTAAGAACTCTGCAACCTTCCACTTTGTTCTTTGTTTGCAAGATTATTTTGGGTGTGCAGGGTCTTTGAAATTCCCTATAAATTGAGAATGGGTTTATCTAGTACTCAAAAAAGTGTTTTGGAGTTTTCAAGGCTTTATATTAAAACTGTCCAGCATTTTGAGTACTATAGGCATCTTTAAAATATTAATTCTCCTAACCCAGAAGAGAGAATATCTCTCCATATATTTGTCTTCTTGCATTTTATTTCAATATTTTGTAAAACTTCACTTATAAATCTTCTGTCTTTAATTCTCTGCACTTGTTTCTAAGTATGTTATTTTTCAAAAGATTTTTTAAAGTAGTTATTTATGAGTCTGTGTGAGTAGATGTCACATGTGTGCATACCCACAGAAATCGGAAGAAGGAGTCTTATGGTAGAAGTTGGACCTGTAGGCACTTGTGAGGAGAACAATGTGTATGCTGGGAACCAAACTCAGGTCCTCTGGAAAAGCAGAAAATGCTTTTAAGCACTGAGCCACCACTCTACCCCAGTACTTTATTCTTTACTGTGGTATGGAAACTGAAATTAAGTTTTCATTTCTTATTTTGGCCATTTATTGTTAGTGTGCAGAAATGCAATTGATTTTTGTGTATTGGTTATAATTTGCAATCTAGCTGTATTGGTTGAATTGTATGTGTGTGTGTAGTAATTGACACTGTCTAAATATATAAGATTATGTCATCTGTTAATAGAATACTTTTACTTCTTTTTTTTCTAATAAAATAGACATAGAAGAAAAAGCAAGCAAAAAGTTACATGAAATAGAGGAAAAGACAAACCAAAAAATTCTAGATATAAACAAATCTCTTAAAGAATCTAAAGAAAGCCAAGAAAAAACAACCAAACAAGTAAAGGAAACAATTCAAACAGTTCATAGTTTGAAAGCAGAAGTAGAAACAATAAGGAAAACACAGAATGAGGGGATGCTGGAAATAAAAAAGCTGGGTGAATGATTAGAAACCACTGGTTATACTGATGCAAGTATAACCAATAGAATACAAGAGATGGAAGAGAGAATCTCAGGTGTTGAAGACTCACTAGAGGATATGCAGTCATCAACCAAAGTAAATCTCAAGTTCAACAAAACCCTAACATAAAATATTCAGGAAATATGGGAAACCGTGAAAAGACCAAACCTAAGAATAATAGGTACAGAAGAAGGTGAAGAAATTCAGCTCAAATGTACAGAAAACATATTCAACAAAATCATAGAATAAAACTTCCCTAACCTAAAGGATAAGCTTATGAAAGTACAAGAAGCTTACAGAACACGAAAATAATAATCAAATTATTGCCACATAATAATCAAAACACCAAACTCACAGAATAAAGAAAAATATTAAGAGCAGCAAAAAAAAAAAAAAGGCCAAGTAACATATAAAGGCAGACCTATCTGAATTACACCAAACTTCTCAATGGAAACTATGAAAGCCAGAAGGTCCTGGATAGATGTTCTGCAAGTGCTAAGGGAACATGGATGCGAGCCCAGATTACTGTATCCAGCAAAGCTTTCAATCACTATAGATGGAGAAAACAAGATATCCCATAACAAAATCAGATTTAAGCAATACATATCCACAAATCCAGCCCTACAGAAATTACTAGAAGGAAAATTCCAACCCAACAAAGATAACTACTCTCAAAAAATCATAGGCAATAGATAATGCCACTTAACCAAAAACCAAAAGAAAAGCGGAGGGAAACCCACACATAATAACACCACTAAAAACAAATCCAAAACAAACAAGAATCAACAATCAATGGTCATTAATATCCATCAATGTGAATGGTCTTAATTTGCCTATAAAAATATACAAGCTAACCGAATGGATACGAAGACAGAATCTATCCTTCTGAGGCATACAAGAAACACATCTCAATGTGAAAGACATGCATTCCCTCAAAGTAAATGGTGGGGAAAAGACTTTCCAATCAAATGGATCCAAGAAACAAGCTGGTGTAGCAATCCTAATATCTAACAAATTCGACTTCAAAATAAAATCAATCAAAAGAGATAAAGAAGGGCATTTCATGCTCACCACAGGAAAAGTCCATCAAGATGAAGTCTCAATCCTGAATATCTATGCCCCAAATACAAAGGCACCCACATTCGTAAAACAAACATTACTAAAGATCAAATCACACATAAAACCTCACACACTTATAGTAGGAGATTTCAACACTCTGCTCTCACCACTAGATAAGACCAGAAGACAGAAACTTAAAAAAGAAACAAAAGAACTAACAAAAGTTATGACCCAGTTGGGTTTAACAGACATCTATAGAACATTCCATCCAAACACAAAAGAATATACCTTCTTCTCAGTGCCACATGGAACTTTCTCTAAAATTGACCACATACTCAGCAATGAAGCAAACCTACACACACACAAAAAAAAAAATAGAAAAATCCGTGTTCTTATCAAACCACCATGCTTTAAAATTAGAATTCAACA